CCCCCCCCCCCCGCTCCCCCCCCCCCCCCCAGAGTCACTAGGGCTGGGCTTCAGGCAGGCGAGACGTGAAAACACCCCAAGGCCAAGCAAACGGTTAAAATGAAGCTTGGTGCCCTTGTCAGAAATACGGGATCGGCCCCCCCCATCAGGGTCTATCACCTGTGAATTAATGAAGCACTGAAGCAGATCCCCCCCCTCCCCGTAGGTGCAATAAAGAGAGAGGAGGCGATGTTCAAGGGGGGAGCTATTCAAGGACTGATTAGAAAGGAAAACACCCCAAGGCCAAGCAAACGGTTAAAATGAAGCTTGGTGCCCTTGTCAGAAATACGGGATCGGCCCCCCCCATCAGGGTCTATCACCTGTGAATTAATGAAGCACTGAAGCAGATCCCCCCCCTCCCCGTAGGTGCAATAAAGAGAGAGGAGGCGATGTTCAAGGGGGGAGCTATTCAAGGACTGATTAGAAAGGAGGGAGAAATGGGGAAGAGAACCGGACACAGACATAACCAACATCGGACAAAACAGGACAGACACGGCAACAAACGGGCCGGAAGCCCAGACTCACTAAGTCAAAGCCTTTGGCTCTGTGATTAAAATGGCAAGCAAACCCCAAGTACAGGGCCCGTTCTGGCCTGAGGACCTGGCAATGGCGCTGGGGGAGGCACCGGGACCTGCTACCCTCAGGCTGAATTAGGGCCCTTGGGGCAGAGCGCTGCGGAGTCCCATAACGTCCGGCCCGGACTGGTGGGTGAAAGGAGTCGCAGGCTGGTGATAATACAAGCAGGCGGTGTGCGGGTGAGGCCAGTAAAACCCCCCTTCTTCCTCTGCTGCAGGCCCTGCTGGGGTTGTCCCTCCTTGTCAGGTGGTAGAGCAGACGGGCCCAGGCACGACTGCCACTGTGGCCGAGAGCCCTGAGGCTGAGTCCTGATAAAGCCACAAGGGTGGGAAAAGTCTGAGAACAGGACCCTCGTGACGCTTGCAGGGACGTCCGGGTTAGGTTGGTCTCTGAGTGGTCAGTGCCTGAGGAGATCGGAGCTTTGCGGCCAGGGAGGTTCCTGAGGGAGTTTGGAGGGGGAGCTGGAAGGGGTGAGGTACCTGTGCCTTTCTTTAACACTTTTAAACTAAACTAAAACCCAAACTTCCTGATTTAAATAAAAAACCCCATCAATAACCTAATTAGCTGTAGGGGAGAATGCAGGCAGAAGCCCAGCTGCAGAGTGGCTGTCACGTTGCTGAATTGGAGGGAAGCAGCCAGATCGCTGCTGCACCCCTAGGTGGGGGTGTTGGCCCCAGAAATTGGTGTGGGGGGAGCCATGTGGGGTATTGAATGGGAACTTATTGTTTGTTAATCGTATGTACACTATTTATGTGAGTGTATAATGTCTGTGTGTGTAGGTAGGAAACTGTAATCTGTGTGGAAGCTGAATATTTCTGTGAATGTGGCTAAGCATGGCTATGGACAGGCTGAGTAGCAAAGCCCTGTGGGACAATGGCTCTCAATAGGCTATGGACACACCCAAAGAATGGGATTTGTCACCTGAGGGCAGCCAGCAGGAAACATAGAGATTGGCCTATGACCAGGTGACTTGCTGCATGCAAGAAGAGGCCAGGACGGAGTATAAAGAGGCCATGTGGTCGATGCCATTTTGTTCTCAGCTCAGCACTTCATCCCAGAGGCAGCACTGCAGGGATTGAAGAGCCCGGAAGACCTGTGAACCCATCCTGATCGTAGGATGTGCAATAAGGACTTTTAACCAGCTTCCACACAGATTACAGTTTCCTACCTACACACACAGACATTATACACTCACATAAATAGTGTACATACGATTAACAAACAATAAGTTCCCATTCAATACCCCACATGGCTCCCCCCACACCAATTTCTGGGGCCAACACCCCCACCTAGGGGTGCAGCAGCGATCTGGCTGCTTCCCTCCAATTCAGCAACGTGACAGTGGCACTGGGGGCTATCCTGTTTATTGCAATCAGTGTAGCATGTATAGCCGTGACACAGCCTCAAGACCTCCCTGGCACATTGTGCCACCCTTGGATTCTGGAGCTGTACAAACTGAGGCCCTCTGCCTCCCCCTCACGGCCTCCCCTCCACCCACGTGTCTCGGTGCTCTCCAGTACAGACTAAACTTTTTCCCACAAAATAAGAACTAGGGGTCACCAAATGAAATGAATAGACTGCAAGTTTAAAACAAACACAAGGACGTTTTTCTTCACGCAATGCACAGTCAACCTGTGGAACTCCTTGCCAAAGGATGTGGTGAAGGCGAGGACTTTAACAGGTTCAAAAAAGAGCTAGATGGATTCATGTAGGTTAAGTCCATCCAGGGCTGGCCTTACCACGAGGAGAACCGAGGCAGCCACCTCAGGTGCCAGACTGTGGGGGGGCACCATTAGGACCCAGAGTGTAGAAAATTGTGTCTGCTTGGTGCAGCAAGGAGACATGGGGGTGTCAGGTGAACTCCCCAGCTCAGGTGCCAATATGTTGTGGGCCCTGAGTCCATCAATGGCTATTAGCCAGGGTGGGTAGGAATGGTGTCTCGAGCCTCTGTCAGAGGCTGGAAAGGGATGACAGGAAAGGAATCACTCGATTCCCTGTTCTGTTCACTCCTACTGGCATTGGCCACTGCAGGCAGACAGGACACTGGGCCGGATGGGCCTTTGGTCTGACCCCGTCTGGCCGCTCTGATGTTCTAATATGGATTCCTACGTTAAACGGTCACAGACTCCATCTTAGTTGCCCCAATTACTGATTAAAATACCATCAGATTATTATATTTTAATGATGTAGAACAATCAAATTACACACACAAAATTGCCTAACAAGGTGTGACGTAGTGTTGGTACCTTGCTGGTTGCTAGGCTTGGGCTGTAGGTGACCCCCCCGCCCCCCCGGTACCACGGCCCAGCAGAGTAGCTGATGGGTCGGGAAGGTAACCTGTTCTACTGGTTACCTCCCAGGGAGAGGAATAAAGGGAGGAAGGCGGAGGGCAGGGCTGGAAGTGGGGCAGTTTCTGTCTGGGAGCATGGAGGAAGCAGCCTAAGCAAGGGGCTGGGATTTAGGGGCCCAGTCTCCCCCATCGCAAGGGGGCTGAGGCATCCTAGGCCTGCCCTGTAACCAGATTACATCTGTGCTGTGCTGTATCCTGGAGCAGCAATAAACTCCCTCTGTTCTACTGGCTGGTGGAGTCTGTCCGGGCCAACGCCGTCACACAAGGTACAGAGCACAGAGCCCCCTAATGCCAGGCCAGGAGAAAAAGAGTACCCAGTGCATGGAGCGTGGGGCCCCCTAACACCACGGTGGAAGATAACGTGTGCATGGGGCACAGGGCGTGGCACCCGCTAATGCCAGGCCTGGAGATGGGGTGTGCACAGGGCAAGGTGTGTGGTGTCCCCTAACACCAGGCTGGGAAACAGGGTGTGTGGGGGGCATGGAGCATTGCACCCTCTAATGCTAGGCTAAGAGACGGCGTGTAGGGGACCCTGTGCTCCATGCCTCACCTGACACAAGGCTGGGGGGCTGGGAGATGGGAGGTGTGGGGTACAGAGCTAAGTGCACCCTAATCTTAGGCTAGGATTTGGGGGTGCATTGCTTTGGCATTTGTTGACAAGGGTGTGACGTAGTGGGGGTACCTGGCTGGTTTCTATGCTGCTGGCTCTGGGGTAACCCCCACTGGCTGCCGTGGGTACCACGAC